AGTTTCTATGTGGGACACGTGCCACAGCATGGCTTGATATGTGGTGCGTAGGTCTGTGCCCAGGATCCGAACCAGTGAACCTGGGCCGCTGAAGCAGAATGTATGAACTTAACTGCTATGCCACTGGGTGGCCCCTAATACCAGTTTTTAAAAGAAAGAAGGTAGATTTCCCCGTTAGACCTGGGAGTTTAACATAAATCTTAGAGAAGATTCTGAGATGGAAAGGGAGATGATAACTGCGAGCCAAAATTAAAACAAGGAAACATACCAGTTTTGTTTCTTTTTTTGGATAAATTGCTAGACTTAGTGATATTGTAGCAGGCAAGGCCATCCCTAATCTAGCCTTGCATTATTGTTAGTCTCCTTCCTTTCCCTTCTCTATCTGAGATGATCTTCTTCCCACTGTGTGTTTACACATCCACATATCCACCTACACAGCCTCTCCTGCTTTCCTGCACTTCCCCAACAAAACATGCTCTCTTAAGACTGTGTCCTTTTTTCACATGGTAGTCTATCTGCATGAAATGCCTTCCCTCTTCCCATCCTCGTTTTCTACCTGTTTGTTTACTACTTGTCATTTAAGATAACTTCATGATCCTCTTGATAGAGATCAAGTGCCCTGGCTATATACTTCTATAGCATTCAGCACTAACCTCTATTATGACATTAATCACTCTATTATCTTTTATCTGTATCACCTCCCCACACAGATACACATTCAAATCTGTAATTTGATTTTTATCTTTGAATCTTTAGCATCACTTATGGTTCCTGGAACATAAAAGGTGTTGAGTACGTGTTGAATAAATGAGTGAATCAATCGTTCATTCTGGAAAATGCTGTCAACATAATGCAATGATGGTATTCCAATCCTGGATCCAAATCCTGGCTTTATGAGTTACCCAGAGCATGTATGATTCTGATACCAATTCCAATGTGTGTTCTTTTCCATACCACTAAGCAATTCTGTAACACCGGCTAGGTGTCCTACAGTTCACCTCAATTTTGACAGTGTCTACCTGTGATAGTGTCCGATCCCACAGGCTCAATCCTACAAGAGTGCCCCCCACTCCAAACCTTCAGATGCCAGTTGTAAGTCCAAGTTGTCACCTGTGCTTCTGACCAACTGGTTATAAATCCGAGGTTCCTGCAACCTCCTCCTCAGGTTCAAATAATTTGCTAAAGTAGCTCACAGTACTCAGAGAAACAGTTTATTTACTAGAGTACCAGTTTATTATAAAAGGGTATAACTCAGGAACAGCCAAATGGAAGAGATGCATAGGGTAAGGTATGGGAAAAGGGCAAGGAACTTCCATACCCTCTCCAAGAGCTCCACTCTCCCTGAATCTATACCTTTTCACCACCTTGGAAGCTTTCCAAACCCCTTCCTTTTGCATTTTTATGGAGGCTTCATTACATGGGCATGAGTGATTAAATCATTGCTATTGTGATTGAACTCAATCACCAGCCCCTTTGCCCTCCCAGGAGGTAGGAGTGGAGGGTGGGACTGAAAGTTACAATGCACTATTCATATAGTTGTTTCATCTGGTGACCAGCCCCTATCATCCATACGTAACCTAAGATCCTTTCAAAAGTCATCTTGTTAACATAGCAAAAGACACCTTTATGACTCTTGTCATTTAGGAAATTCCTAGGGTTTTAGGAGTTCTGTGCTGGGAAAAGGTCAAAGACCTTTTGGATTTCTTATTATAAATCACCATATTACAGCATGATCTTGGGCAAACTGTTTAAACTTTTTGAGCCTCAAATTCCTTTGAGCTTTTATTCCTTAGTACATAATAGGTGTTTAAAAAATGGTATCTGCTGTTATACTGTATTTGTATCTTAGAAGAACATTTAGCAGTCTTGTAATATTTTTATGGTCAAGATGGGAAATTTTGGACTAGGTGATATTGATAGTGAACCTCTTAATCTCAGGTTCTTGTGCCTGATGCATAGTAAGCCAATCACTGAGACACTGGTGCTTGGAAGTAGAGAAAGGTTTTATTCAAATTGGCCAAAATGAGAAGGCGGGAGAATAGGATCTCTCAAATCTACCTTAGCAAAAGAAGGAAGCAGGGGATCTTTATAGAGCTAAGGGGCTTGGGAGGTGGAGTTTCAGAGCAAAGGGGAAGTCTGTGTTTCTCTCACTCCAGATAAGCCCATGGGCAACTGGACTTCTTGGTGTCAGCTGCAGGTGGGGACTGGTTATCTGGTAGTCATAACTTCCTTAAAGGCATTCTTTTTCTTCTGCAAAGCAAGCTCATAAATCCTTGTGATCCTGGAGTCACCCCTCTGGTTTAACAAGAAAACAACAAATTAAGAAGCTGTAATGTGTGGGCTGTGAAGGAAGGATTTGGTCTCAACAATACATCTAATGGAGACTAAGGTTATTTATTAACTTCTTTTCTCTGCATATATGTTGGGAACAAGGTCGAAGGGTCACCATGTTCTTATCAAATATTTGCAGTAACCCTCAGGTACCCAGCTTCAGTATTACAATTAAATCGTAAGTGGTTTAACTTACATTTTTACAAACTTGGAGGGTCCTCCCTAGGGGCACGATCCAGGGGCAGGGCTCAATTTCTTTGCCCTGTTCTTTTCAATGTTTTCATAACACCTCAGTTGAGGATGTTGATGGCATGCTGATCCTTGCTTGGAAGGAGAATTTCTTTTGCAAATTGGGATCCTAAAAGTTCTTGAATGGTATTTTAAAAGGAATTGATGTAAATTATTCAGCTGGACCAAAAAGCTCAATTATATAAATTCAGAATTGGAAGTGGGAGAGGAAGGGAAGGGAAACTAATAGTCCAAAATCAGTTTGTGAGAAAAGAGTTGGAATTTTAATTAAACTGGGCTCAATATAAATAGAGTACGATGCAACTATGATGTAGGCCAGAAAGGCCTACATGATATTAGGCCATTGGTGGAAGAATAATGTCTAGAACATGGGAAAGAATTGCCCTGTTCCATCCTGTAATGGTCACACCACCTGAGAAGTACTGTGGACACCACCTCTGAGAAGCATATTGACGGGGAAGTGACCAAAGATGCTTAAGGAACTTAAGACTGTGCTGTAAAGAGGAACATGTAGAAGAAACTATAGTCTTGAAAAGGAAGGCCTAGGGTAGGAGCTGGGGGATGTTAGATATCTTTGGACATTGGAAGAAGGCTTGCTAAGACTTGTTCTGAAGAGCTGTGGAGTCCAGAACTAGTACTAAAAGGTGGGCGTTATAAAGCACATTTGTAGTTAAACGAAGAGGAAACTCTTTTAAATAGATAGGATGGTAGAGCTCCTCTAGTCGTAGGAGGGATTGAAGGAGCACTTCCACCAAGCAGGAATGTCATTATATGGATATTTCACTAATACAATGGATGAGTTGTAGGAGTTGAGATTCTGTATTGGGGTTGACTTGATTGAGATTCTCTGTAGGAATTGAATTAATTGAGATTCTGTAAACTGAGGCTAAGTTCTTAACTTTGATTTTGTTTACAGTGTACTTTCCTAAGTAGAATTTTTGGTACCATACTTGAAAGACTTAAAAAGTAAACACTTGTTAAAAAAAACTAAGTTTCAAAAAGAAAAAAGAAATAGGTCTCCGGTTATCACCACATTCTTCAATTTGCCTTCCCTACAAAACTGGTATTGTTTACAGCTTCTCTCATGTTTTCTTAAATACTCACCAAGCTGAGTTTTCCTGTTTCGGTTAGACATTCACTAAGCCTCTTACCTCATTTGCAGCGGGGTTTATACTGCTTGTGACCACTCTGGTAAACATTCTGTCTGAAAGATATAATTGTAACAAAATGTAGCCTCGGTTGTAGCAAAAATAAGTTTCATGCAAGGGCCATAATTTGGTGGTACACCTTTGAAGAGTTTGCAGTGTGCCAAAGTACCACAGCATACTGTGTGACAACCACTGGATGGCAGTGATTCTGGGGGTAAAGAATTGAGAAGAATGGCAAATACAATAAGAGACCAGAAGGAGATTCTATAGAGATGTACCTGCTTCCTGTTTCCCCCTAACACCAGTTTCCCCTCATTTGGAGGCAAACTACTATACCCCAATGAACTCCTTTTCTCTTAGAATCCCTGGGCCCTTAACTGTGACCCTCTTTGATCCAGCCTTACTTTCCTCCTCTCTCTAAATAGAATCTGGTATCGTTTCTTTTGTGTTACCCTAGGGAGATTCCCTTTGTGTTGAATTTCAAGAAGATTATGAGTAGTGTAAATTATGTGAGTGGTATTATGAAATGAAGCACATACACACAAACTGTTTTATTGATGAGCCAAATTTCTAAGCCCATGATTAATGAGTTATGTGTTAAAAACCTCTTGCATACAAATATACATATTTGTTTGCTCCAAATACTTATGCCCATCAAGAGGATGTATGTTGATGAATGAAAGTATTAGGGAGAGTGGGGATAAAGAAGTAAATAGGAAATTTTTACATGTAAATAAAAATGGAAATATTTTTTAAATAATTTTTTGTTAGCTTTGTTTGATAGCCTACCTTCTGGGATTGTGAAAGGCTAATGAATCTGGCTGTTGATAAAGAGAGTAATGCCCATATCATTTGAAGTATTCCCTCACTGAAAACAGTTTGCAGCATCCAGGAGGATTTCTTATTTCAGTTATTATCTGAATTTAATATTTGTTTATATGTATGTTGTACTTATTTCTACTTTGTGTACACACATGACATAATGATAGAGTTTTTAAAGCATATAGAATACTGACTTTGTTTAAACAGTTTATAAATAAGGTACTTTTATACTCACAAAAATTATTTTCAAAATTGTTTTTCACATGCACAGGATGTTAAGCTAGAGATTTGACCATATTAGTGTGCTGTTTTGACTTGCCTCTATGCCAAGCATTCTTGCTGTGTACATGGACCTACAAAGGAACTCTGGTTTGCTTCAAAGCTACGTGTAGCATGCACATGTGGGACATATTTTTATTTCAATTATTGTTTCACATTTTTAATTTTCAGCGTGTTGGAACAGGATTCCAGGAAAATGAAGCCTAGTGTGAAACCTGCAAATCAAAGGAGGCATCTTCTAGGATTTTCTGCCAAGGAGGTGCAAGACACGTCAGATGGTATCATCCAGAAAAACAGCTACAGGTTAGATGGCATGTCTCTGTCTGTTAAATTTATTTAATGAAACTGAAACAGAGAATTGTATAGCATAACTTTACATCTAAACTGTTTATACACAGTTTTAATTCGTAGAGCAAACAAGTTACTGAGGCCATTAATAAATTTTACTGTTAAGACCAGATCTAAGAATAAATTTCCTTTGCGAAACTTTTTCCAGTTTTAGAATTCTTGTAAAGATATAACCTTAAAATCTAATATACATATTGAAACACATACAATATATACATATTATATTGTGTTAATGTCTTTAAAATCGTTATTTTATTTATCTGTAACGTGTTTACACATGTAATATATCTAATATTTGTTGCTGTGTCATCTGTGATGGATATGAAATCGTGGAATGATATGGCTGAACCTATTTGTAGTCATTAGATAAAAATCATTTATCCTTGTGATATTCATTGAGTCTCCCTCCCTTGTTACAATTTAATGCTGTCTTTGTACATTTCCATAGAGCTTGTCAATAGTAAAAGACATAATATTATGAAAATACAATTTCTGTATTCTGTTAGCTAGCAGAAGGTTATAGTAGACATTTTCAGAGCTGTATATTTTTTGATAAACAATTCCCTCTGTTGTTTGGAATTTTTATTGAGCCAAATGGAGCTAGGTCCTTGATAACAAGGCAGAGGGAAGTCACAACGTGGCAGCCATGGCACAGGAATTCTCGTTAACTCTAGCTCCTTAGCACAGTCCTTTGCTTTAGTGACTTATTTGCTGAAATTTTTTCTCTTGATATAGAATGGTTTGCAAGCAGCCTAGACCTCTGACCATCTCAGGGTTAGTGTGGGTCTAATTGTCTCCAGATTGCATTTGGCTTTTCTTTCCCTTTCAGCTCCACCCAGTCCCTTTCCTGGTTTCTCTCCTATCAGATGTTTTTTTTCCCCAAAGAATATTTTTGGCTGACAAAACAAAGCCACTCAGCACAGATGTGCAGAAATCATTACTAGAGTTTATCATATGGAAATAAAATTATAAATCAGAAATGTACTTTCAAAAGCAGTTTTGGACTTTTCTGGTGGACTACAGCATTTGTAGTTTTGTAAATATGCAGACCTGATTTTTAAAAATATGCCTATGTGACAGGACTTTGTTCTTGATGTTTTTAGTGTGGCAAACAGCCTCTTAGAAGCATTCAGAATTTACCAAGTACGAGACAGAGTTCTGGTTCTTCTCCCTCGACACTTCATTGTAGGCCGATGTCCTTTTGTGTGTGCAGCTATTACCGCTGTATCACCATCTTTGTTTTATTCCAAACAACTTAATCCTCACAGGCAGAAGAAAGAGATTCAAGAATGTTCCTGGTGCAAGTTGTAGGGAATAATGATCTACATCTCCTCTGCTATTGCTTCTTTTGTCTTGTGTGTGGCATACATAGAAGTGCCTGACTTTTACTTTCATTTTCCACTGTACCAAAATTATTTTTATCAAGGGTGGCAGTGATTTCACTGTTGCCAAATTCAATGAAAACTTCTGTCTTCATCTTACTTGATCTTTCTGCAGCATTTAGCTGTGTGGATCACTCCTTCCTTGAAACACTCTCCTTTTGTATTGCTGCATTTCTTAGTTTCCTGCTTTTTCACAGTCTGCTCTTCACAATATTCTTTGCTGGCTTCTTCTCTATCCAAATCTCAGGGTTTGAAACTGTGAATTTTTATTTTTCTTTCTGCCTAAGTGACTCATCCATCATTTAGCACACAGTCTCTGTCTCTATATCCTGATGACTCTCAAATTTGTGTTCCCGGTCCAGACTTCTCTCTAAGTCTCCACACTCATATATCCAGTAATTTCCCTGACATCTCACATTTCAGACTTAACACATGCATAGTGGAACTCTAGGTCCCTCTCCGTGTTCCACCTCCATCCACTTCTCTTCAGCAGTCTTCCTCATTTCTGTTGCTTAAACCAGAAATCCTGATTCCTCCCTTTCAACAAGTCCTGTTGATATTCTTTCCAGAAATTGTCTTGAATTGGCCACTTCTCTCCATCTTCACTGCTACCATCTTAGTCCATATTGTCTTCAGGTCTTGTCTGGATTACTACAACTCTCTCTTAGCTGGTCTTCCAGCTTCCCCTGTTGTGTTCATTGGATCCATTTTTGTTACAATGGCAAGGTGTAAATGTAAATTGAAATTTGTCACTTTTCTACTTAACACCCTTTTGTGGCTTCTCATTACTTTTAGTAATTCCTTATCATAATCTGGTCTCTGTCTTTCCAACCTTATCTTGTTCCTCCCTCACTTGCTCACAACTCTTCAGATGGTGAGTGGTCTTCTTTAGGTTCCTTAAACCCACCTTTTTTCCACCTGCCTCTGTCCAGAACACTCTTCCCCCAGTCTCTAAAAGGCTAGTTTTTTCCTCATCCTTTAGGCCTTGACATAAATACCATCTCCTTCTGAGACCATTTGATCTAAAGTAGATACTGACGTTAGTTTTCTTTTTCAACCATTTGTTTCTTTTGTAGCTCTAGCCACAGTTTGGATCTGTTTTATGTGTTTGTTTTCTTGTCTTTGGTCCATCTTCCCCCATTAAGGTCTTTGAGGATCGAGACTTTATTTCTCTTGTTCCCTCTTGGATTCCTAGCACCAGGCACACTGCCTGGTTCATAGTTGGTATTCAGTAAATATTTGTTGAATGAATTAATGAAAAGTGTGAATCTAGCCATGTCCGATTTTATGTGTTTATATTTTTCCTTTTGGGGTTTTAGTCTGTTTAGTTTTCTCAACCCAGAGCATTGTATGTAAAGAAATTCAAGACAGATTTAAGATTTCTTAGTGAGAAGGGTTAAAATAGCAGACCGAAGAGAATAAATAGCAATAATGTCCCCAGCTCAAATTCTAATTTTCAACTCAGGTTTTGCTCCCTATGTAATACCCTGGATATGAATTCATATGATATAGATCAGTGTGATGGTTAGGAAAGCATATTTTTTTAGGCTAATGGAGTAACTGGTTAATGTCACCCTGGTGTTTGACTAGTGATTCAAATTCCTCCATGATGCTAAAATTTATATTCAGCTTTTCAGCACTTTCACTTTTATCCTATCAAGGATTTTATGCTTCCCCTCTCCCCACCACATACAGTATTTTAAGGAGACTATTCAGTTTTGTTATCACTGAATTGTGAATGACTACAAAACTTTAGCCCTGGTCACATAATACTGTCTTTCCTATCAATCAGTGGGTCTTCCCCGCCGTTTTCCCCATTACTGTGTCATCTCCTGTGTTCCAGCAGCACTGTGTATATCTTGAGCTCATTGAAGACATTAACCATGTGTTATCATTGAATCCCTAGTTTCCGGTACATAATAATTATACAATAAACGGTGGCTGGATAAATATGAATTATTCTGATAAGCTCTGTAGAAAATCAGAAAATGACATTTGTGCTGTTATGGTCTATACTTCCCTCCTTTTCTATTACATTTGCTTCTATCTTGCAGTACGTCTATTTACTATATTTTTATTTCCGTGGAAAGTTAATACTAGTGATGATTTTCTTATAGCAAACTTCTTAAGCATTTAAGATGCAAAGAGACAGTTTTTATGCATGTTTATTTCAGATATGATCATTCCGTTTCAAATGACAAAGCCCTGATGGTGCTAACTGAAGAACCACTACTCTATATTCCTCCACCTCCTTGTCAGCCCCTGATTAACACCACAGAATCTCTCAGGTGAGTGTTGTAGATTGTTGCAGCTATATCTGAGTGGGTTTCTGTGTTTAGTTTTGCAACCTAGAAAAGTATTTGTTCAGATTAACTAAGTGTCTAAGAGAATCTCTGAATTATTTGTTGGATAACCATAGGCATACAGTGGTTGTCCATTTTCCCCACCAACCTGCTAGAGGTGATGAAGGGTTTAATGTGATGGTATTGGGGTTGCATACTTAAGTATGTCTTATTTGAAAACTAGAGAGTGATATTAATATAAAAATCCAGGGTAATTGTTAGACCTGCACATGGTAACATTTATAGCAGAAGGTACTTTTTTCTTCAAATTAGGAAGATAATAATTTGAAGATATGTGATTCTGGAGACACTTCCCCATTAGTGCACCTTTTCTTGTCTACTTTCCCCTTGAATTTTTTCCTCTGATTTTGGATCCTATCTTCGAACCTCAAAAACTGCTTCAGTTTTTTTGTGATAAGTAGTAATCAACTATAAATAAACATAGTCACACCTGCTTCACAAACTGCTCTAAAAAGTAAGCAAAATAAGGGGAAGTTATATTTGAACTAGGCCTTTTTTATTTCCGGCATTGGAAAATTGGAAAATTTGGATTACAGTGCACTGAGATTTTTTCTTCCCCCTAAGCAGTTGAGTTCATTCTTTTCCTTCTCCTGAAAGACCGTGATTTTCAAGGGCTTTACTGCATGCACTGGTTGTTAGGAGTCCTGTGGCTTGTTAAGTGCTCTCCATGCTCTCCAGCGTTTCCGTGTACATAGCCCAAAAGCAGACACAGGAAATACTTTTTTGTGGAGAAACCTTTGCATCCAATATTTATATTTGGCAGGTATTTAGCTATGGTTTTCCTTGAATTTTGAACTCATGAGTGAGGAGGCTACCATGTAAAAATTCATGTCTTATTAAAAACAACTTAACATTAAGTGTCTTAGCTTTTTCAAATCAAAAAGCAACATTGAGTCATCAGGCACTTGGAATGCTCTTTGGAACCTATAAATATAATTAAATTCATTTCTAATCAAGGGATGAGACATTTATTTCTATGAAATATGTTAATTAATTAAGCTCTTCTGTAGGTTAAATCATGAACTTCGAGGGTGGGTTCATAGACATGAAGTGGAAAGGACCAAGTCGAGAAGAATGACGAACAATCAACAGAAAACCCGTATTCTTCAGGTTTGTTTCTCCTTCTCTTCAAACAGTTGGCATAATTGTTGGGTGGCTTCCCCCAGCTGAGGTGCTCTCTTCCCTGGAATAGCTGGGAAGCTTGAACTCCAGCCGTCTCCCAGTGGCTCCTGCTGCATCTGCTGCAGCTGTCACTGCCACTGAAGCCCTCCTCCTAGGTTTTACGGCACTGGTTTAGGTTTTATAGCACTAGTATTTCCTGCTCAGGCATGGTGCTGTTTCCTGCTTTCTCCCTCATATTTGCTTTCAAGCCAGGGGTTTCTGTGCATGGACATCTGTATCAAATGTTTTTGGTGCAAATGGTATAATAAATGATACTGTTTATCTCTTCTGTTCTTAGAGCTTTTCAAAAAGAGGGTGTTAAAACATAGGACAACTTGGAAGTAAAGACTCTCCATGGAGGGCATTTTTAACTTAGACATGTAGCACTACAGGTTAAGGACAGTTCGCTTTTTTTTTTTTGAGGAAGATTAGCCCTGAGCTAACTGCTGCCAATCCTCCTCTTTTTGCTGAGGAATATTGGCCCTCCATGCCCATCTTCCTCTACTTTATATGTGGGATGCCTACCACAGCATGGCTTTTGCCAAGCGGTGCCATGTCTGCACCCAGGATCTGAACCAGTGAACCCCAGGCCCCCGAAGTGGAACATGCAAACTTAACCACTGTGCCACCGGGCCGGCCCCACGGTAGTTCTTATTTAGAACCTGTTTAATTGGGCTTCCATCTTAATGTTCTTTGCCACAAAGCACCATTTATAGTCATTCCATCATTCATCAAATATTTATTACTACTTCTGAAGCACTTAGACTAGCAACTGGCACGTTGCAAGCTCCCAACAAACATTACCTGTGGTAGTAATAATGAGCCAGGTACAGTTTCAGACCCTGGGAATAAGTAGTGAGTATGATAAAATTCCTGCCTTCATGGAACTTACATTCTAGTGGGAGAGATAATAATAAATAAGTAAATAAATATACTCAAAATAAGAGAGAAGTTCTCTAAAGAAAAAGCAAGGTTGGAGGTTAGAGTTTGAGTTGAGAGGTGAGTGGCTATATTAGGTAGGCTGCTCTAAGGATATTCCACTTGAATAAGGTATTGTCAAGGTAGTTATTGCTAGCTGTTTAACAAACAGCCTCAAATTCTCAGCAGCTTAATAGAATACAGATTTGTTTCTCACCCACACGAAGTCTGATATAGCTCTCTAGGATGGCTTTCCTCCCAGGAGTGACTAAGGAATCCAGGTTCTTTCTACTTGTGGCCACAATAACTTGAGATTCTTTGCTTCTAGGCTTGGGTGTTGGGGAAGAGAAAGCTTGGAAGAAAATGCAAAATGTTTTGGGTATCAGGCCTGAACTTTAGCCAATGTTCAGTTGGCTAAAACTCTGTCACTTTTCCAAGTCTCCTTTGCAGTGGGTTAGGCAAATCTAGTTTTCCTGTGTGCTCAGGAGGAAGAAAAGGGTTTGATGACAACGTTGCTTTTCCATAGGCAGAAAATGAAGGAGTAAATAATGCAAAGATCTAGGAGAATGTTTAGAGAAAGAGCTACCAGACAAAGGGAACCGCAAATAGAAAGACCCTCAGGAGGGAACAATTTGCATATTTGAGGAACATCAAGAGGTTGAGTAAGGCTGGACTGCAGTGACTAAGGGGAGAGTAGTAGAAGATGACATCAGAGAGGCAGTAGAGGCTAAATCTTAGCAAACCTCATAGGCTCTCGTGAGAACTTTGGATTTTATCATAGGTATGAGAGGATAGCATTGAGATGTTTGAGTAGGGGAGTGACTCTGTCTGATTTCTATTTTTAAAAGATCTCTCTAACTCCTACACAGGGTAGACCATGGCGGGGAACATGAGTCTAAGTAAAGAGACCTGTTAAGAAGCCATTTCAGTAGTCTAGATGAGAGATCATTGCAGTCCATACTAGCGTGGTAGATGTGATGGTGGAGGAAAGTACTTGAATGCCAAATATACTTTAAAAGTAGAGCGAATGGAAATTGCTGATGTAAAATAAAAAAGAATGATAATTCCTATGCCTTAGCTGCTGGATGAATGGTGATGCCATTTGTGGAGATTGAGACTGGGGAAAGAGGAGTTGGAGGCAGGAATCAAGAGTTTTAGAGGGGTTAAGTTTGATATGACTCTTAGACATTCAAGTAGAGAAGTCAAGTATCCAGAGGTCACATATCCAGGCCTGGAGTTTAGGGAGATGTTGAGACTGGAAGTTTATTTGAGATCACATCACCTAGGGAGAAAGTAAAAAGGAAAGAAAAGAGGTGAGGAGCTGAGACCTGGGCCAACTCCACCTTAGAGGCTGAAAGAGAAGAAAGAATCCAGCACTTAAGAAGGAAGAAGAGTGGTTAGGAGAGTGGCTTGAGTAGGATAGGAGAAAATGTAGGATAGTAGTGTCCCAAAACCCAAGTGAAGAAAGTTTTTTAAGAAGGGGATGTGAACAACTGTTACAGAGGCTGAGAGATATTGATTAAGATGAAGATGAGAAATTGCCACTGGATTTGATTATTAAAATTTGTTAGTGACCTTGACAAAAGTCATTCATTGGAGTGGTGATGACGAAAGTATGTGGATTCGGGAAGTAATAATAAATGAGGAAGTAGAGAAAATTATTTTGGGATGATTCCCCATTAATGGGAACAGAGAAATGGAATAGCTATAAGAATCAAGTAAGAGGTTTTATTTTTAGATGGGATATATTTCACCAGGTTTATGTGTTTATATGCTAATGGAACCACCTTTAGCTATTTGATTATTTGGAGACTAACTGGAAGCAGTATGTGATATGTTTAGAAGTACATTAAAAGGATATTGAGAAACGTGGACTTTTAACCATTATGGAACTGTTTTCATTCCATAAATAATGAGGGTTAGTCTAGATGAGCTCAAGCTCTGACATTCTGAGATTTCATGATTATCCCGTATGTGCCTATGTGGGCCTCTCCAACACCTTTTCTTCACATATTATGGCACCTTGATTGGTTGTTAGTACTTCTGTTGGCTATAGGCAGTCATTACCAATGTCGCAGGTACCTCAGAGTCTCAAAGCTTCTTACTGGCATTAGAGTACAATCTGGTACTGTAAAAACCCACGTCTGCCAAAGCCTACATATTGGCTGCCACCATGGTCAGAGGAAAAATGGACTCTATTTTCCTTCTGCTTTCCAAATCTGGTGCAAGTGTATCTTATTGGCAGAACCTAAATTATATCCCAAAACCTAGTGGCAAAAAAGTTTGGGTAATATAGTTTTCAGGCTTCCATTCCTTGCTATACAGGGGAAGAGCAGGAAGAGGGAAGAAATGGATAACTGGCAGTAGATTATTCCACACAGCTGGTATAATGGGCATTATGAAAAATTAGGTTAAAATTCTTGGCCTAAATGAGTTTTTTTGCCTTATCTTTTGATACAATTTTTCATGTTATTCTTTCCTGTTCATTACATAAATGAATAGAGAGTTTACTGTGTAAGGGGCACTTGGTACCCCTTTAAGGAATTTTAATGCAAGGAAAATAACTTTATTGTAATTTCGTAGCCTTTTAACATTTGGAAGAGATTTGTAGTTTAATCTAAAGTCTTATCTCTTTCTCTTCTATCTTGGGTGCATTTCTTTCCATAGGAAGCTTAGATAGTGGTCAGAAATCTGAGACTCTTAGCTATTTCAGAAAAAGGAATGACAGGGATGAATTTGTATTTATCAAGGGTAAAAGAAGTTTCTTTTCAGTCAGAGGAAGGATCAGTCAGAGGAAGAAGGATCATTCTGCTTATGCTGTTGTCAATACCAAAGCATATAAAGAATTCCTCTGGTTCTCTTTCTCGGTGCAGAGAGCCTGGAGCTGCCCTGCTTCGTCTTGTTTCCTCCTTTCAACCTTCCTTTTTCTCACAGTCACCTCCTTCAGATGCTAAAAGGACTCAATCGTCTAATAAGATATTCTGTAATTTTGATGAATTGACATTTCTTTGAAATTTCTGCCATCTCTAAGCATTATTGTCTCCTTGATTTGGTTTGTCCCATTTCATAGTTCAACCCTCTTCCTAGACTGAGTTATTAGAAAAGGTAAAGGGGCAAATTAGTGAAAATAGCTTTCAAAATGAAGACAAAATAAAGACATTTTTTAGACAGACAAAAACTGAGATAATTTATTGCTCCAAGATCTGCACTGTGAGAAATACTAAAAGAAGTTTTTTAGACTAAGGGAAATGATATCAGATAGAACCCTAGATTAGCAGGAAGGAAAGCACCAGAATGGGTAAATGTCTGGGTAAAAATAAATGCCCCATAAATGTCCCCCCCACTTTTAGTATCTTTATTTCACTATTTTACTTTACAGAACTAAGGGGAAAATAGACAAATCTACAACATACTTGGAATTTTAACATCGTTCTCATTTCTGTATAAATGTCTGCCTCACATTTTTGCTGATTATGACCTTTTGCTAAATCCACATAGCTAAGAATGCCGAAGCTCATGGCCAATTTTTCAGAGATTCCTTTGCTAATTGATGTAAATCTTAGGTAAACGGCCCTATTTGCCTAATGTCTCTGTAACTCAGTTTTCCTTAAAGCCTACCCACTCATTTCTGAGTCTAGGGAAAGAAGTCTGGCTTCTTTCAGACTTCTGTGTTAATTTTATATGTGCCAAAGTAGCAAAATCATTTAAAATTCATTAGGTATTTAGTCTGTTCATTTTAAATCTTTTATTTATCAACTAACCGTAATTTAATTTTGGCTTTATTTACTAGTTACTTGATAAGCGTGTCAATAAGTATAGGATTTTATTATTTAAAAGTATTTGTTTCTCTTTTTTTTTCATTTTATTGGTGCATTCCTCGTTTTTGTTTAATGAACAGTTACTGAACATCCACTATATGCAAGACCTAATGAGATTTTCGTAAAATAGGACCTCTGACTTGTCACAGAGCCAGAAATTGGAAGCCCTACATTCATCCCTGCATATTGGTTCCATCCACCAAACAAAGTCGTTACCTTTTCTTTTTTCCTCTAACCCTTTGTATATTCTTCTGTTTTAGCATTGATCACATTGTAAACTGCAAGCTTCTTGAGGGCAGAAGTCAACTATTAAATTTGTAGCCCTGGTCCATGTAGTGGGTGCTCTGTAAAAGTTTGATTGCTGAAGGATGGATGGATGGATACAGTAATGAACAAATGCCAGTAGTCTTATGATTAAACAGTTACTTCAGCCACTATTTGACAGGGTAGTAGTAAGGTCACTTCTTAATGTAATAGTTGGTAGTGTGCCCTTGAACTCTAATACCCTTCGAAACTCTTCTGAAGATGAGCTTACAAAACTGCCAGGGAATATAAGAAGGCATAGTGTAAAGCAGATGCTATGTGGAAGACAGGTTTCCAGAGTAGCATATGTGAGCCACTGATGGTTCCAGATTGGACTGTTCTCTGGCTAAAAAAGTCATCAGTGAGCTCTCTTTAATGATAGCTTAGTTCATAAGTATATTTAGGCTTGAAGATCTTTGTGTTTAACTTAGTAAACAATAGGATCTAGTTTCATTATTTTACTTTAGGAACTTTTCATTGGGAAAATAATTATTTTAGACAAATGTAAGTTGCTATATGTTGAGTAATAATACTTGCATGGCTTGATCATAAAACTTATGGTACTTGGACCAAGCTTTTGGGCTATTCTTTAAACTTTATGGGAAGTGCCTTAAATGTCTTAATCTCCATAAGACACATCTCCCAGCCCAGAATGTGAGCAATAGAGTTCTCATTTCTATGTTGGCATTTAGTTATGTGAACTTAATATGTCAGAATATTCATAAAGAAAAACAACATGAGTCTTTAATGAGAGTTTAGTAAATGTAAATGTAGAATGAGTCTATATAAGAAGTCTTCATGTAATTTCATTATATGGCATTAAGTCATTTTTTTTTTCCAGGGTGCACTAGAACAGGGCTCAAATTCTCAGCTCATGGCTGTTCAATACACAGAAACCACCAGTATCAGGTAAGAAAGTGTGGAAGCTCTTGGCTAAGGAATTTTAAATACCTAGTATTTTAGTAAAGTTGAAATGCACACTTCCTTTACATCTTAAACTTGTTCTCATCTGTGATTTTTGTATTAGTCCATATAACATATACTGCTTCTGAGCACTCAGAGTAAACCCAGATAATTTCAAAAGGTTAACTCTCCCCATCTGTGTCCCTTAAATACAGTTTTCACTGGAATGCTGTTCAGTCATAATTTTGCTGTAAATTTTAAGTGCACATAGTTTTCCTGTCCTTGATTGGCATCTTTTCCATGAGCCAAGGGGAAGGGAATATTATTTTATGAGTATCTGCTCTGGCGAAGGTGTCCTGCTGAGTGCTTTACATGCATTTTATCTTTAAATCCATATAATAGCTTGAAGTCTAGAGACCATGGTCCCTGTTTTATATATAGAAAAACTGGGCGAGTCGCTTATTTTTTCCAAGTTTTAGAATCATAGAACCAGTAAGTGGCAGAATCACAATTCAGATCCTAGCTATTTGACGTAAAATGCATTTTTCACTACACAATTCTGCTTAAGATTTTGAAAGATTCCAAAAGGAATGCTGTACGTGGAGGTTTAAATATGTTGAACAAGACATATCTAACTAAAAGGAACAGTAATATGGGAGGCAATGTAGTGGCATGGTTAAGATGCTAGCTTTAGAGTTGGGCAGAATTCAGATCAGAACTCTGCCACTTACTTGCTCTGTGGATTAAAGCAGGTTAACTTAACGTTTGCTTATCTACAGAATTCCGGCTACACAGAGTTGATATAGTGATTAAATTAGATAATATATGGTTATGTGCTGCATGACAATGTTTCAGTCAATGATGGACCACATATACAGTGGTGGTCCCATAAGATTAGTACCACATAGCCTAGGTGTGTAGTAGGCTATGCCATGTAGGTTTGTGTAAGTATATGCTATGATGTTTGTACAATGACGAAAGAACCTAACGACACATTTTTCAGAATGTATCCCTGTCATTAAGCTCATTATTCAGGTATTCTGTATTTGTGTATCCGCCTACTCACTAAAATTTGTTTGTAACTCTAAAATCAATACTTGAAACACGTTCGCGGTCATTTGCAAACGTGTAGACATTCCCAGGTAAGGTTTAACAAGGCAACCCTCTGCCTTCCTGTTTTTGGCTCTTGTGCTGTAAACAAGCGTCCTTTTCAAGGTCTGTTTAGTGCCGTGTTTCACATTTTTGTGCTTTTTGTTGGTGATTTCACTGTGTAAAATGGCCCCTAAGCCTAGTACTGAAGGTGCTGCCTAGTGTTCATAAGCACAGAAGACGGTATTGTGCCATATGGAGAAGATACATGTTAGATAAGCTTCATTCAGGCATGAGTTATGATGATGTTGACTGTGAGTTCAATGTTAGTGAATGAACAATATATGTTAAAGAAAGTCTCTTTAAACAGAAACACGTGAAACAAGGTTATATATTGATCGCTTGACTAAAATGCTGTAACTCGGGGTTCGTAGGAACCTCACCCTGTATTTCCCTTAGGAGAATGCCTCAGTATTTGCTAATTCAGTGTTCATACTGCCTTTATACAACATGACTACCATGAATGATAAGAACTGACTGCACATTCAAAATATTATTGTCAGAAGTGGCCTAGTGAGCAAATGGACTTATTTCAAAGGAAGTTCTTATGACTCATTTGTTATTTCCTTTTAAGTCACCCTTTCTTTCCTCTTAAGTTAATAAAGTTTGATTGAAAACATAAAAGAAGAACAATATAAGAAAGAAAACACATGTGTTTTCTTTTTTGGAGAAAAATGAAACATTATTTCTTTAACTCTCCTTTAACTTTGGAGTGTTAGCTTATTGTGCTAAACAGTGAAAGACTGAAAATATTATTAAGAACTATATTAATATCATTTGAGTGTATCTTTTGAGATATGATGTGGTTTGAGATACTGTAATTTAAGGTATAATTTTATAAAGGCACTGACATAGTACTTTTAATATCCATAGCTAGCAATTGTTGAGTGACTCCTATGGAACAGGACCCATGCTTGGTACTTTACACATATAACATCTCTGAGCCCAGTAATGATCCTGCAAGGTTTATATAATTATCTTCATTTTACTGATGAGGAAAGTGAGGTTGCTCAAAGGTTGATTCCCCCACTTATACCCACTTGAAGTGTGAAGCAGGAATTCAAAGCAGGTCCACTTGTTTCCAAATCCTAAACTCTTTCCACCTTTCACACACACTCATAGGCAAGTGTGCCTTGACAGATTTGACGGAGGGGTGAAAAGTAACTTTACCTTAGGCTTAAATTTTGTTACCCCAAATTTTAAAATCATACAAACCAATGCAGAAGTCTATTTTCTGATACTTTTATTATTTTTACATGCTTTGCAATACACTTGACTGGTCCATTTTAGAGCCTTGATTCAGAAATGAAGTTTTAGCTGTAGTGAATTGGATCTTACAAATATCCTGACCTTGGGCTTTTCAAAATGTTATTATAGTCATGCACCACATAGTGACACTTCAGTCAATGACAGACTGCATATACAACTGTGGTCCTAGAAGATTATAATGGAGTGAAAAATTTCTATCACCTAGTGACGTGGTAGCCATCGTAACATTGTAGCACAATGCATTACTCACGTGTTTGTGGTGATGCTGGTGTAAACAAACCTAATGCACTGCCAGTTGTATAAAAGTATAGCACATACAATTATGTACAGTACATAATATTTGACAATGATAATAAGTGATATGTTTCTGGTTTATGTGTTTACTATACTTTTTATCATTATTTTAGAGTGTACACTTTCTAAAAAAATAGTTTACTGTGAAACAATATGCCATGTCACACCGACAGCAGCCTCATACGTCTCATGTTTACCATGTCTCTTAATTGCATCATCTTCTCTTGTTCTTGATTTATTCTCGTTGTTTTGTTCATCATGGCCCCTAAGCATGCAAAATCCACTGCTAATGTTGTCAGTAAGAGACCACTTTGAGTGATTAACCCGGAAACGAAATTGAAAGTGATTAAGGACTACAAAGGTGGAAAATCAGTGATGGTTATTGCTCATCAGTCAGGCATGTCGGATTCTACTATAGCTATTATCTTGAAGAAGAAGAACAAAGTGACAGAAGCTGTTAAAGGATCTGCTTCATTGAAGGCAGTGAGACTAACAAAAATTCGAGAAGGGCCTATCAGATGTGGAGAAACTTCTAATGATCTGGATTGGAGACCAGACACAGAAGCATATCCCTCTCAGCATCACGACAGTCGTGGCCAACGCAAAAAGTTTGTTTACAGTGTTGAAAGAAAAAGCTGGACCTGACTACGATGTTGAGTTTACTGCTAGCTCTGGGTGGTTTAAATGATTTAAGAATCGTTCATTACGTTATGGGAAAGCAAGGGGTGAGTCGCGAATGCTGATGTGATGGCAGCTGCAGAATTTTTAGAAACTCCAGATAAACTGATTGTGGAGGAGGATTACCTGCCAGAGCAAATATCCAGTATGGATGAAACCTCCCTATTCTGGAAATGGATGCCTGAAAGGACTTTCTTCCATAAGGAGGCCAAATCAATGCCAGGTTTCAAGGCTTTTAAGGACAGGATAACAGTCTTGGTTGGGGGCAATGCTGCAGGCTACAAATTGAAACCCTTTGTGATCTGGCACAGTGAGAGCACTAGGACCTTCAAGCATATCAATAAGCACACACTGCCAACATATTAGAGGAGCAATAAAAAGTCATGGATTACCCAGCTCCTCTTCCCAGGTGCCCTCCTGAATTGCTTTGACAGCAAAATGGACTAGTACTGTTTGAAGAATAACATAACTTTCAAGATTTTGCTTATTGTTTATAATGCTCCTGAACATCCTCCTTTTATTGGTGATCTTCATCCCAATATCAAAGTGTTGTTTCTCCCTCCAAACACCACCACTTTGATCCAACCAATGGTCAGGGAGTTATAGCAGCTTTTAAGGCTTACTACTTGAGAAGGCTGTTGTTGAAACTGAGGAAGACACTGATGAAATTGTGGAAGGATTACAACATCTACGACTGCATCAAGAAACTTGCTTGGATTTTGGGTGATGTCACCAAGGAGTATATGAATGGCATCTGATGCATTATCTGCTTACAAGCAAATCTGTGATGAGAAAAAGAAACAAACCAAGCAAACCACAATGGACATATTTCTGAAAAGAGTGACACCTCAAGAAGAGCCTCAGACAGGTCCTTCAGGAGGTGTTCCAGAAGAAGCATTGTTACCACAGGAGATGACAGCTCCATGCGTGTTATTACCCCTGAAGACCTTCCAATGGGACAAGATGTGGAGGTGGATGCCAGTGATATTGATGATCTGTGTAGGTCTAGGCTGATGTGTGTGTTTGCGTCTTGGTGTTTAAAAAGAAAAAAAAAAACTTAAAAAAATAGAAAACAGCTTATAGAGTAAGGATATAAGGAAAGAAAATATTTTTGTATAGCTGTACAATGTGTTTGTGTTTTAAGCTGTTATTACAAAAGAGTCAAAAAGTTAAAAAAAATTAAAAAGTTTTTTAAGTAAAAATGTTAGAGTAAGGTTAATATATTATTAAAGAAAGAAAAATTTTTTTTATAAATTTATTGTAGCTTAAGTGTACAGTGTTTATAAAGTCTGTGGTAGTATACAGTAATGTCCTAGGCCGTCACATTCGCTCACCACTCACCCATTGATTCACCCAGAGCAACTTCAGTCCTCCAGGCTTCATTCATGCTAAGTGCTCTATACAGGTGTACCATTTTTTATCTTTTATACCATATTTTTACTGTATCTCTTCTATGTTTAGAGACACAAATACTTACCATTGTGTTAGAATTACCTACAGTATTCAGTACAGTAACATGTTGTACAGGTTTGTAGCCTGGGCTGGAGAGGCTATACCGCATGCCCCAGGTCTGTAGTAGGCTGTACCATCTAGATTTATGTAAGTACACTCTGTCATGTGCGCACAATGACAGAATGGCCTTAGAATGTATCCCCTTCATTAAGCAACACGTAACTGTATAAAAATTACTGCCAAAACGCCACTAATATGTTGGTTGAGAGAGATTCTTATAATTTGGATATAGCCTTAGAATGGAAAGTATTTTTGAGAGGATAAGAAATTTATTAGTTTAACAACATTTTGCCTTTTTCTTACTTCAGCAGGAACTCAGGGAGTGAGCTACAAGTGTATTATGCTTCACCCAGAAGTTATCAAGACTTCTTTGAAGCCATCCGCAGAAGGGGAGACACATTTTATGTTGTGTCATTTCGAAGGGTAAGTTCATTTTGAAATAAAGGAAATATTTTTGAGTATCTACTATGTACAAGGCTTTGGACTGGATCCTGTGAAAGTTAAAAAGATGTGGGGATGGGAAGTAATATAAAATAAATTATATGGGTAGAACAATTTAGGTACTATAATGCATTCCTGCTTGACTTTGAGCTGTTCAGCATTATGAAGAGGAACTTGGAATTGATCTCAGGCAATGATTTTATATTTAGAAAATATAAACTGCTTATTGATTTTCATTCTTTGTCCCCCCATAGCCATACTGTTTATTTACAACCAAAGGAAAAGTAAACACATTAAAATTTCTGTTTAGGCTTTGTGGTGTTATTCCCATTTGGTTATTGAGAAATAGACTTCCCAGATTTTGGTTTAAGATGAATCATGGGCTGATTAATATGTTAATTGTGGAATGTTTGTGGTATAATTAATTGTGGTATGTTTCTGAAGCACTCTATTCCTCTTTTCTTTTTCCTTCATCAAACGTTTACTCCTGTTGGTGAAGAATATGTTAGATAATTAGTCAACTTATGCAAAAGTAAGTGTTTATACAAGCACTTTTGAATGTTATAGATGTTCGATGAAGTGGAAAAAATGCACAGCTATTTACATTCCATCTATTTTTTCTATAATAAAAATATGTTCTTCATAGGGTTGCCATATGAATATCTCTGTCTGAGTGCTGTATGTTAAATCAGGAGCGCATGAATGAGTTAAAATTCCTTGGTGGTTTGTACCCTTGGTTTTTGTTTTTTCTTTTTTTTCAGGAAGAGGGGCATGGTTAGAAATAAGCATGTGCTAACAGTAGACAATTCATTCTCTGATTATTGTCACTGCTCACTATCACTGAAATTCTCAGTTAACTTAATTCTTTTCCTGAGGTATAAATATCTAGCAGCTCAGAATCTTAGGACCTGAGAACTTTGACACTTGAGAATTAGGGAAATCAAGCGTTTCAGATATTTTTAGTTATTAATCAAGTATGCTAGGATATTTGGGCTACTTTAGCAATGGTATCTCATGATTTCTGCCTTTTCACAAAATTCCCTGTGCTCAGCTTATTCTCTCAGACGTAATTGGTATATTTCTGTACTGCACTAGCTTCAGAGTTCATTTTCAGCAGCAAGGGGGCAGCTGAGAACAAGGTTTCAGCAAGGCTCCAACTGTATTGGCTGATGAGAACTAAGTATTTGCTTTAGTGTTGACACAATCATGTTTAAAGTGGAAAAAAAATATATAAACTTTTAAAAATGGAATTCAACACTACAAAGAAGAGACTTGATGGATGTTAAAACGAATGTGTTGAAGTATGTGTTATGGAAGTTATCACAGAAGAATGTTTTTAACACTGAAGTAGCTGAATACTTTTTCTTAGGTTCAGGATAATTTCTCTGTTGTTTGATCAAAATGGCATAGTATATATTAGAAGTAGCACTTGTCAAGCCAGAGATTGAGGTTATGGTTAGTAATGTTTTTGTAGGGAAGAGAACAAATATTTGTTACAGAAAAAATAATCCTAGCTTTAAAGGGACTGTATTTTTACAACGGAAGATGAATGGTATCCTTTTTTTTATTATATGCATTATGTTTCTTGCTTTTGTCAAAGCTATTTCTCATTAGTTTGTGTTGAAAAGTACTGGTGGAAAATTATTGATTCCCGCCCCACCCAATCCTTTCATGTTCTAGAAAAAACAGTCTTTTTCGTGTTCAGGAAAACTGCTAGGACTCTCTCTCACTTTCTCTTTGGATTTTTCACTTCCTAATTACTGATTTATCACATTTTGGTGTTCTATATCAAGATAAAGTTAGGATAAATCTGATCTTAATTAGATGACAGTAGTCATTTTTTCTTGCTTGTTTTGTTTTAACAGTAGGGATACGGAGGTTAATTTTCTCATGGTGACTGTAAACTGTGTCATGGGACAGGAATTTGGTTCTTAAAGCTTGGATTGTTCTTTTTATTCTTACTAAAATGAAAATGAAAGAAGTAATGACCTCATCTTGTTTTTTTCTTCCACTTTTCAATATAAAATCTTCTATCAGTTTCATCAAAAAGGCGAGTGGCATCATTTCTTGTGCAGAAGGATGTAGACTTTTTCTCCCACTTAGGTTCTTAATTTCATTGATAGAAACTATTGTAACTGATACTGTATGATTGCATTGGAAATTAAGAAATGCAGAGATTCTGAAGCCCCAAAGTTTTGCCTAGTATAAACCAGACATACAGAGCAATAAGTATTTTGTTTTATTTTATAATTGTATATATAATTATATAAATTTCATAATGTATAATATAAAATATATAAATATAATTTATTATTATAAAATTTTTATAATTTATTTTATAGTTATTGATAATCTAAGCAATGTCATATTGTTTTATAATTGGACATGTATTTAACAAAATACTTTAATATCTAAAAAAGTAGAAGTTGCTTTTGACTGTCTCATATACTGTTATTTAATAAACCAACTGTCTGCCCAACTTGTATTCCCTCACACCCTATAGTCCTTCACACTTAAATCTCATTATAGTTGAGCTGCTGAAATGATTTTCTCCCAAGCAGACTCACTCTTGGATAACTACTGAGTTCTTGTTATAGACCAGCCAGAAAGAATGCTTATGATCCCAGTAGTCCTGACAAAGGTTCAAACCGTTTCCTGTTCTTTTGACTTTGCTTTAAGTTTTTGCCTCCAACGCAGTAACCTCCTCTACTCTGTTTCGTTCCAGCTATTCATAACTTGTTTCCCTATAAGTATTTTGTCTTTTTCTCCTCTCTTGGACTTGTTTTAGTATGATTTGGAGCAGGGAGTGGTGGTAAATAACTTCTCAAACTTCGAAGTCACTTTGAGTGTGCTATGACTGATAGATTAATTTAAAGAATCCAATTAAGTTTAATGTTTGTTTTTTCTTAATGCTTTCATATGATAGTCTATTTAGGGAGGGAGGGGGCAGATTAAACAATATAACCAAATGAATTCAAAAGCATGAGACAGACACAAATACTCAGGAAAGTTCAAGTAAAGTAAGATAAAGTGATTCCAAAGGGAAGAGAAAAGATAACATTGAGAAGAAAGGTGGGAAAATGATATTTACTTTATCTTTAACTCCAATAAACATTGAAATACTATACTTAGGTGCTGCTCTCTTGTCCACTAACAATTAAAGGAAGGAATTTTTTTATCTTCCTGGGGCAATTTCCTGTTGAGAACAGGTTCTCTTTGATTCAGATGGCTATGAATGTCAATTCACCATGTTATCTCCACTCTTGTTTGATACTTCTTTTTCAAATGAGATAGATGCCATATTTAGAACACTTTTTATTTATTTTATATTTTCTGTTTTCAGTACCTGTCCCTCAAATCAAAGGCAGACACTTAAAATGGTCTTTTCATCTGTTTCAAATAGATGAATGTAACCTACATAAGGAGAACCTGAGCTGTAGCTATATGCCTACCTCAGAGATGTTTCTCTTTCCCTCTCTTTCTAAGTACTTTATGTATTCTAGATATAGAACTGTATTAGGGTATTTCACCCTTCTTGGTCTCTGATAAAAAAAGTTATTAACAGTATCATATGTATGTCATGGATTCTAAGAATAAACTGAAGTAATAGGGTTTTGTTAGAAGATACATGGGAATTGAAGAAGCACAGGAAACTGGCCCAGCATCCAAGTAGTCCCTCTGTGCTTGTCCCCCATAGACTGGAATGTACACCAGTCCTCATGGAGAATTGGCATAGTGGCTCGTTGTCATTCCTCATTCAACAGCAGCTCCAGTAATTCCACTTCAGTCTTTTTCACACATTGCTCGTTCAGATTCCCCAAACAGAAAGAGGATCTGATTGTGTGTATGTGTGTATATAAATATATATATATACACACATATATATATTTACCATCTCTTATGTAGAATCGCCATGATAACCTTGGCTCATGATCCACAGTCCATTCATTAGTAACCAGGAAAATAGGGTTGATTTCGTTAAATGCATTCTCTTGCTTTGTAAACCAGCAACTTTATGCAGAAGGAACAGCCTTGGGGCCACTCTTCTAAGAAGATGATGGTGGTGGGCCCTTAGAGCTTCATAAACTGTTTAATACACTACACAACCTGGCTTTAAAAAAAAATTCTCTTGTACTGGTCCCTAATTGTTTGATCTAAAAGGCTTATCTTCTTATCTATATCATACGCCTCTTAAAGGCAGGAAATGTCATATGCTTTTTTATTACCACCCCTGACAGTCAGCACAATGCCAGCCACTCAGTGCTTATTAAACAGAACAATTTTAGGTGTGGTTCACTAAGAGAAGTCATAGTGATGAAACTTTGCTGTATTTCATAATCATTTAAAGAGTGTTTTTGCATCTGTTTTGCTTAAAGAAATTTGAATCTATTTTACTGATCTAAGAAGTAACGTAAGCAGTGCTGAGTTCCAGCAGAAAGTTTAGTTAGAGATGACCTTTCTTTTGTCCATTTATGGTTGCACTAGCCAGAGATGCATCAGCTTTGTTCTTATCTCTGAATCTAAGCTTGAGAGCTAAAGAAATCTCCTGAGTAAAATGTTTGACTGTGAAATGTTTAAGTCAATAGGTTGAACTTCAAGGTGCTCGCATCCTCAAAGTTTTTTAATATTTGCGGAAACGTTTTGGAGAAAATTGTTTGTTAGACCTCACTTCTTTCTTTTTGGGAGAAGGGATGGTGTCTAGTAGAGATTCCAGCAGCATGAGCTAGAAACTAGAAACTTTGGAAGAGCATAGGGAAGCCTCTAATTGGTGCAGAAAAGTTGACTAGTAATGTTATTGGCTTAAAATGTTTCCCATGGAAGGCTACAAAAAAGAATTTCACAAAATAGCAATGGTCTTTCTTAAATTAATACCTAGATTAACTCCTAATACATGCTTAGAAGAATGGTGTGTTTTCTTAATGCATATTATTCATTTCTTGAAATTTCTGTTTAGTATATATAATTTTATATAAAATATTCAG